GGGACAGACAGTTGGCAGAAGTAACTTAATATGAATGGGTCCTGCTATAAATGTGGCACTCGCACATCTGATTTTCCTTCAGGAGAAAAAAGGAAACAGAAGTGAAACTGAGTGTATTTTTAAAATGTTTCTTTACCACCAAGAAATTATTTCCTGAAAAGATTTCATAAGAAAGATCAAGAGATCGGCACCGTTGTGGATTCCAGATGATTAGGTGGCACCTGCCATGGATCGAGGACCCAAGCAATTTATGATTCTTTTTCCTTTTAGTGTGATGCTTCTAAAGACACAGAGGCCCTCTCCAGGCGTTCTGGGCAGATTTGCTCACATCCTGCGGTCTGAAGGGTTGTGGGCTCTCGGAGCTCTGTGACTGCGGTTGCCAGGGGCTCTGGTCCTTCCCAGCCAGGCGTCCTTCGCTTTGCACATGAGTGGGGCTGGATGTTTCTTCCCTTTGCTCCTCAGTTGGGACAGCAGAAAGGGCTTTCCAGGAGCAGCATCAGTCAGCGGCCTGGGAGTGAGGAAGAGCCTGTCCACGTGCTTGAGAACGGAAGCGCCACCTACCTGCACCCACTCCTGGCCCCAGGCCCTGCTGCCCTCATCTGCCTAAGGGTGCTGTGGGTGTTTGGGTGGCCACTTGGGACTTCTAATGTCTATTCTCAAGAATACGTCTGAGGGCTGGGGATTTAGCTCAGCAGTTTGGTGGCCTGCCTTGCAAGCAAGTTCAATCCCCGGTACCAAAAAAAAAAAGAATATGTCTGAATGCCCAAAGGAGAGAATCGTCCCAACCATTCCAAGTCATTAGTTATCACGGGGTTTTGTGTGATCTCTTTTGCTGCCTGCAGGCTTTGGCTTTGTCCCCTGTGCAGGTGAATTGGCTTTTGGTTATAGCCAGTGCTTCCTTGTGTTCCTCTCATGCAACTTTGCGATATGTAGAACAGGTGTTTTATGTCACGTGGGGGATAGACGCGGTGAGACTGAAGAAGTGGCTTTTTGCTTAGCTACACACTGGACTCATCAGAGAAGTTTGAAGTGTACCTGCCACCCTCCTGTAGATAGCTGGAGGGGGTTAGGTTGGCTGGGAATTGGGGTTCATAGTATTTTGATTTGGCAGTATTTGGGTTTGGTTGAGTCTAGGGCCTCACATGCACTAGGCAAGCATTGGGTTTTTTGTTTTGTTTTATTTTTTTATACTGGGGGGGATCGAATTCGGGACCTGGTGCTTGTGAGGCAGGTGGTGGAACCACTGAGCTAGAAACCTGGCCCGAGCGTTGGGTTTTCAACAGCTCATCTGCCCACCTCGCCCACATCCCTGGTTATTCTACCCAGGCATGGCGGCACCTACCTGCAGTCCCACCTCCTTGGGAGATTGAAAGAAAGTTTGAGGCTATCCTGGGCCGCTTAGTGGAGTGGCATGGTGAGTAGCTCAGTCCCCCCTGGGCCTAACCCCGGGACTCTGATGTACAGCTGGAGTGGGGACCTTGCTGCACAGTACTGGACTCCAGTACTTGAGTGTTGCTGCCTTTCCAGGGGTCACCTCGGGAGACCTGCACTCACTGTGCTCCTGCGCTTAGGACTTTCTAGGAAATTTGCTTTTGGAATTACTCTAACGTCCAGTGAGGGATCCCGTAAACCCCGACATGGACTCAATCTCAATCCATATCACTGGAGAGCCTGTCAGTTGCTTAAGGGTCGGAGGCACTTTCCTTGACCAGCACCGCTAACTCTCTCTTACTCTGTATTTTGTTACCCACCTTTTCTTGCCAGACTTGGCCTCAGAGGAGTTTTGGCCTTTTTTGGCCATTTGACAGCAGATCAGAGCAGGTCCCTGCTGAGGGGCTGCTGTGTGCTGTCGCACTGTGCCCCACCCAGCAGAGGTGTAACTCCTGGTCCGAGGGGAGACGCAGCTCTTTGCTCTGATAGGTGGAGGAGGGCTCTGTGGCAGAGGGGCTGCTGTTTTGCCAGTTCCAAGAGGCCTCTGTTCCCAGAGCTGCTGTGAAGAGCAGGGCTGAGCTAAAGGAGTGCCTGTCCTGAGGGCTTGGTGAGATCGAGTGCTGGCTATGGCCATGGCCATGTCACATCCACGAGATGAGAGCAGTGGGATGAAAAGCTCTTCATTTATGAGTCACCTTTATTTTGATATAGTCATAGATTGAAATCCATCTGTGAGAAATCATAGACCCAGCGTCCCCTTCACCTCTTTGCCCTTTATTTTTTGAGGTAGGACCTCGCTGAGTCACTGACTGGCCTACACTCAGCTGTAGCATGAGCTTCTCCTACCTCAGTCTCCCAGAGTGCTGGGATAATGGGTGTGCACCACTATCTGACTGGTTGCCATTTTCTAAGACGTCTACCAGCCACAAATCATCTGTTTTTGTAATTTTGTTACTTGATAATATTCCTTCTTTCGAGTCAGTGGAGTGTGTGGCCCTTTGGGATCAACTATTTTTACTCAGTGTAATGCCCTGGGGCTTTGAGTTGCTGTATCTGTAGTGTATTCTTTTTTGTTGCTGTTGTTGTTACTAAATAGTATGAATGTTGTTTCTCTACCTGGTGAGCGTACCTGGCTGCATCAGGATTTCCGCTGAGCAACAGCTGCTCAGAACAATCATTTTCCTGTCACTGAGACATAATGCCTGACACCCACAAGTTAAGGGAGGAGACGTTTATTTTAGCTCACAGTTTGTAGAGGTTCAGTCAGTAGTTGGCTGGCTCCAAGGCGGGGGCAGAGGAGAAACAGCCTATGGCAGAGCAGACAGGAAGCAGCGGCAGCGGCCGCATGGAACCTCCCTTTCCCTTTTATCCTCTCCAGGCTACAGGCTTGCTGGTTGGTGACACCCATACCAGGGATGGGCCTTCCCATTTTTCAGCCCGGAACTGTGGTTAACCAATCAGTGCAGTAATTTAGTTTCCACACACCTGTAAGCCACATACACATATCCTAGCGCCCACCACCTCCAAAAGCCTAACCTATGAGTTCATGGGTCTTTGGGGACCTCTAGATACAAGCCATAACATAATTTATTTACTTATTTACTTACTTTGGTACCAAGGATCGAACTCAGGACCTTATGCTTGCGAGACAGGCGGTGGTACCACTGAGCTAAATGCCCAGCCCATAACAATATTCTTGTACAGGTTTTTCTAGTACAAATATGTTTTCTTTTCTCTGAGATAAATCTCCAAGAATGTAGTTGCTGGGTCATAGGAAAGCTACATGTTTAGTTGTATAAGGAAATGGCAACTGTTTTCCAGAGTGGCTGTACAGTGGTTTATTTTTGTTTGTTCTTTTATGTAGCCTAACAGTTGACGGACTCTTCTGCAGGACTTTGGGACATAAAACCCCTAGAGAGCAGAGCTTGCAACTGTGGTGGATGCAGGGAACCCCACTTGCCACCCATAAACACAGGTTCAACTAGGTCTTTCCAGTGCCAAGAGTTTTTCTGCTTGCTAAAAGCAGCTGAGCTGGGGCCAGGGATTTAGCTTAGTGATGCTGCGCCTGCCTCGCCTGTGCAAGGTCCTGAGTTTGATCCCTGGTACCAAAAAGAGAACAAAAAGTCTTTGAAAAGTCTACCACATTTGAAAAAAAAAGCTGGGTGTGGGGGCACTGCCTATTGGGAGCCTGGGGAAGGAGGATTGCCATGAGTTCAGGACTGGCCTGGGCTTCATAGTGAGATCCTGTCTCAAAAATAAATAAGGGGCTGGGGATTTAGATCAGCACAGTCTGCCTGGCAAGTGTGAGGTCCTGAGTTTGATCCCGAGTACCAAAAATAAATTTAAAAAATAAATAATAAAAGCAGGAAGAGGGGGATATTTCTGTTGCCCTAGTTTGGGGGAAGTTCCTACCTTCTATAATATTGAGCTGGAGATGTGCTTTTTAATTTCAAACTGAGCCTAATCTTCAGGGCCCATGACTGGCGTGTCATGGACGGAGCACCCGATGGACCCCAGGCTGCCGGTCCATCTCCATGCTGGGAACTAGGCGAGAGCAGTAAAAGGATGTGGTGGTGGACAGTGTGGGTGGGGGGAATGGATCCAAACTGCGGCAAGGGAGGACGCAGCGGAAAGAGCCGGGCGGGGGTGATGGGCAGTATGGAGGGAGACCGCTGGCTGAGCTTCACTGCTCCTCAGAGAGATTCAAGTGCAGAAGGCGAAGAGATCCACAGTGGATGGAAAGGGAGCTTGAGTACAGATGTGTTGGGCTTTTTTCTTTAAATACACTTGGGTGTGTTTTGCCCTGGGCTGTTTCTGAGAGCGCCATACTGTTTGTTTTCTCCCTGGGTCTGCGCAGGTGGCCTTTACCTGCCAAATAGCACAAGCCACTGTTGGGTCCGGGTCCGTGTGGCTCAGGGTGCGACCTGGAGGGGCAGCGGTGGCTCCTGCACTGTCAGGCTCCAGCTGGCTGCGCAGTCTGGAGCCGGATTGTGAAGCCTGTGTTACGTGGCAGCAGGTAGCCCGTCCCCTCTGGGAAGGAAGAGCAGTTCTTTTTTTTTTTTTTTTTTTTTTTTTTTAATTTTTTCTTTTTTTCTTTCTTTTATTGAGTGTATTGCTACATTTTAGGTATACAGTACAATTACATTCATCATTGTACCTTTACATGATGGGTCTTGGTTCTCATTTTTTTCCCCTTGTCCGTGCCTCTTCACCCCCTCTTCCCCTCCCCATTTACAAACACTTTATTTCCATTTTTTCATTTTGTCATATTTTTTCTTTTCCCTTATTACCTTTCCCCCACCCTTCGCATTTTCCCTACACCTTTAGCCCTTTGGGAAGAGCAGTTCTTTAACCCTGCCCTGTGCCTGCAGCTGCTTCCTTGCAAGACAGTGGCCATGTTACATCTGCCAGTCACAGCACAGCCACTGTCTCGGGGGCTCTTTACAGGGCCCCAGGACCAAGCACATCTGGAAACAGTGGGGAAGTTGCCAAGCAGCAGGACTTGAGCAGGATGCGGTCTAGTGTAGCCCCTGCCGCCCTGCAGCAGTGTGGCCTGGGAGCATTGAGCTAACAGACTCGCGTTCCTCTTGCAGACACAGACTGTTCAGCTGAGCAAAGAGATGACACTTGCCAGCAACCGGAGCCTGGCAGAGGGGAACCTCCTGTATCAGCCTCAGCTGGACACCCGGAAGGCGCATCTGACTCAGAAGTACCAGGAGCTCCAGGTCCTCTTTGAAGCCTACCAGATAAAGAAGACCAAATTAGGTAACTTTGGTAGGGGTCTTCTGAGAATAGTCGAAGGATACATTTTCAGGCTGTTGTCTTACTAGGAAAGGGATATTATGGGGAAATATCAGGTTAAGACAGTGAGTGGTGTCACAACATAATAATATGTATTTAATATACTTGTGTGTATAACATTTCTGCTGGTTTATAAGAGACATCTTTTAAAATTCAAGAGTGCATTCTCTAAATAGCATAGAAAAAAGGCACTTTTCTGAGTCATCTTGTGTATTGGTTCTCAGAGTTGACCAATAGTGCTTTATCTCTGGAACATTTTACAGTTACACTTTAACTTACAGTTGTTATGAAGAGGTGGAGAAATTGTGTACTGTTGAGTTCAGAGTGCTTCGGAGAGCTTGTTAAGGGAAAATTACTATTATTACTATTACTTTTATTTTTTGAGACAGGGTCTTGCTATGCAGTTTAGGCTCTCCTTGAACTCACTAGCCCAGGATGGCCTTGAACTCATGGCAATCCTCCTGTCTCAGCCTCCTGAGTGCTGGGATTACAGGCGTGCACCACCACACCCGGCCTGATGATGGTGGTGGTGGTGGTGGTGGGTGGTGCCAGGATTGAATCCAAAGCCTCACACAAACTCAGAAAGCACTGTTTTTAGCATTTTAAATGAGCATTTAGGAGAACTTGGGTTGAATCCACCCCCTTCAGTGAGGCTACAGTGCTGTTTTATGTTTGCTGTACCCTGCCCCCCATTATCTTCAAAGCTTCAGTGAAAATGTGCCACCATACCCCACCCCAGCAGAGGAGGGACGGACTGGCAGCACCAAGTGCCGGTGAGGTTGTACAAACATGCATACTGGCAGGAATAGGAATTGGCAATGCTTAGTAGAATGACTCTGTGTACCCTGTGATTCCAAGTTCTGCACTGGGACATCTACCCCACAGAAATGGATGTTTATGTCTTATCAGAACATGAGTACAAAAATATATGAGTTGGGCATGGTTCTGTACCCCTGTAATCCCAGCACTGCGAAGCCAACAGGATAGCAAAATTAAAGCCCAGCCTGGGTAATCTGTGACTCAGTGAGACCTTGTCTCAGAATTTCAAAGGGCTGAGGATGTAGCTCTCATTGTGAAGGTTCTGGGTTTAATCCCCAGTACTGCAAAACAAAGCAGGATGTGTGCCGGGCATAGAGGTGCACACCTGTCACCTCAGCACTAGGGAGGCTGAGGCAGGATTACCAAGAGTTCAAGGCCAGCCTGAGCTACATAGTGAGACCCTGTCACACACAGAGAAACCCAACGTACGAGCTGCAGCTTACCTGTCATAGCTCACTTTGGAGGCTGCCTTCCGTACAATGACGGGGAAGCAAGCTGTGGTGTTTGCTGTACAGAGACGGACGCAGCACTGGGCAAGGTCATAGGGTCCCTCATTGGGTGAGGGGAGCTGGGCAGAGCAGGCAGTGTGGATGAAGAGCTGGGTGGGCCTCACCAATGGTGGGGCTGGCAGTGGTGGCGTCAGGCTGCCTGGGGGTGGACACGAGGGAGCCGAGGAAATGTCCTCTCTCGATCTTGCTGGGGCTGTGGCTTGATGCGCTTGTAAGCAGGTGGGATGCTCCAGATGTGTGTGCCTGGCTGAGCTGTCACTCCGACTGGAGAGTACACAGCTGGTGACAGAGTTCCTGTCACGTGTGAGAGCCCGCTCCATGGGACAGATGCTGACCGCGGGCGCTCTGACGCATGATGCTGGCCCTGGGTCTGTCCCTGAGATCTTGCTCTGCACATCTGCCCCAGTGGTGGATTTAAGGGCGGTCCTTTCCTCTTCCTGGAAAGCCAGCCCCGGGCAGATGCGACTCCTGGGCCTTACCAGGGCGTGGGAAGGCATCTGTGGGTGGCATCCCATCGCACGCTCCTGCTTCTTCCAGATAAGCAGTCGAGCAGCGCTTCCTTGGAGACCCTCCTGGCGCTTCTTCAAGCAGAAGGGGCCAAGATCGAGGAGGACACTGAGGTATGGCCGGCCAGCCTCAGTTGAAGGCCCAGGGCCTTTCCAAGTTTCGGGTCCCTGTGGGCAGTCAGCAGGCCAGGGAAGCCCCGCATGTGTACGTGTGGGTGTGGGTGTGGGTGTGGGTCTGGCCTGGGCAGACTTCGGGACCACAGGCTGCCTCAGAGGCTGAGCACTGCCCTGAATCAGTGCCAGGGGCCAAGCTGCCATCTGCTGTGGCCATGAGTCAGCCAGTGGCCCCAGAGCCTTTTTGTCATGGCCAGCTGAGTGCTTAGCAAGCTGCTTGGGATGCACCGGGGCGAGTTGGGGCTGGCAGTGTGGCCAGGGTCTGCATTGCTCTGTAACCATTAGGTGTTGGTAGGGCCCAGGTGGGCACAGCAAGGTTGTTCCGGCCCGGGCCAGGGCAGGGCAGGTCTGTGGTCAGGGTGCAGCTAGGGGAGAGAGTCAGGAGTGTGGGCTCCAGCTGCTTAGCTGCGACGTCCAGACCTGGGGCAGTGGTCACGTCTCTGGGCCAGGGGCCAGCTTCCCGGGGCCACCCTTGCTTGTGAGGCTGGGTCCTGCCAGGCTGCGGTCGAGGCTGTGGTTCTGGCCAGTGACCCTGCGGCACGGCCACGCACCTCCCCTCTGTGACCCTGCTGCTCTTGGCCCAAGCCAGTAGCACTCAGGATCTGCCCAGCTGAACGCCTCAGGGCCATGTCCAGGAGAAGGGGGCGCCAGAAGGAGGTCTCCCAGTCGGTGGAGGGAACAGGCTTCTAGTAGCCGGTCTGCCGATAACCAAGTTTCTGCTGCCTCGCTCAGAGCATGGCCGAGAAGTTCCTGGACGGTGCGCTCCCGCTGGACGCCTTCATTGACAGCTACCAGAGCAAGCGGAAACTGGCCCACATGCGGCGGGTGAAGGTGGAGAAGCTCCAGGAGATGGTGCTCAAGGGGCAGAGACTCCCACAGGCCCAGGCCCCGCTGCCGGCCAGGGTGCCCGAGCCCATGCCCGCCGCCTCGCTGCCCTACCCGGCCCTGGAGGCTGGCGGGCCGCCCTCTGTTGTGCCACGGCGCATCCCCCCTCCGCCGCCCCCGGTGCCCGTGTCCCGCTTGGCCACCCCGTTCACAGCGGCCGTGGGCTCAGGCCAGGCCCTTCCCTACCCCGCGTTGCAGTGCCCGCCCCTGCCGCCCCGCGTCGGCCTGCCTCCTCCGCAGGGATTCTCCCCGCACTTGGTGTCTCCGTACCCGCCGGCTCTGCCCCAGAGGCCCCCGCCGCGGCTGCCTCCACACCAGCCGGGCTTCATCCTGCAGTGAGCGGGCGCCGTCCTCCCGCGAGACGCCTCCGCTCGCCGAGCCGCCACTGCACATGGAGGCTGCAGGGTCCTGGCCACAGGCAGGGCCGGCTCCTGGGCCGCGTCCACCTGATTTAGAGCCGCAGGTCCGCGGTAGGTAGAAGTAGAGCCCCATGGGTGCTGGGCCGCGGCCTCCTGTGCGTCACGGCCTTGCGTGGCGTGTGTGATTTCTCAGTACCCTAGTGTTGATGAACTTGTGCGTTTGGGAAGAGAAAACCTCTCTGCCACTCCAGCTGGACTCCTGGTCCTCCCGCTGCATCTTATTTAATAAGCATGGCTAATTGTATCTGTTTTGTTATTTTCAAGACAGTGCTATGTCCCACCCGCCCTACCCCCCGGCTGGTGCCCTGCAGGTCTGGCCCAGGAGGTGTGTGTGGCCGGGCACCATGCCAGCTGCCCGGCTCACCGAGTGTCTGGGGCAGGCGATTGTGGGTCCCCCAGCCCCTCCCCCGACCTGCTGCTCGAGCCTCAAAGCCACGGGTGCCACCTGCCCTGGTGCCATTGCTCTCTGAGGCGGGACGGTGTGGTCCTGGGCGTGAGGAGGCAGAGGCAGAGCGCCGCTTTTCCATCATGGCCCCTGCTCCCCCTGCGAGTTGGCCCCTGAGGGTGTCGTGAGGAAATACTCTCCCGGTATTTTTACTATATGCCTAATTTTCCTGTTTTATATTGGGAAAGAAAACTTTTGACACAAGATCATTCAGGGAAACTTTTAAAAAACGCAAATGCTGTTTTGAGCAGATTGAGATGCAGATGAAGCATATGATGCGGGTGCCCATGCTGTGCCTTACCTTTACCTGGTGCCAGAGCCGAGGCCTGCACGATGGCCGCTGTGGGTGCCCTGTGGCCTGCAGGCTGGGCAGAGCCCCGCAACTGTGACCCTAGAGCCCTGCTGTGTAACAGGTGTGAGGGGCACACCCAGCGCGGTCCTGGCCTCATGTCCTCTGCTTCTGGCCGGCTGGCACCAAACCCCAGGGCGGTGGTGCTTCTGGTATGGGCACAGGGCAGAGGACCGGAGAGCCTTCCCGGGAACCGCCACACCCTGCCCCTCCCGCAGCCCCTCGTCCGTAGGTGCCACGTGTAGTCTCCTAGGGCCTGGCGGGCAGCGCCACACCTGTAGGCAGAACAGCTCTGCGCCACTGGTGAACTTGCTCCACCCTCACAGTCACCTGTGTCGGGCAGCCTGACCTGCTGGCTGCCCCCATGTGACAGGCAAGGCCACCAGCCTCTGTGCTCACTTCCTGTACACTCCTGTTCCTGGACTTGAACTCTACTGCGCTGTAACTGTTTTGTAAAGAAACAAAGCTACAAGACGAGTCCGCTGCCATGTGTCAGGTGGGCTTGCCACGTCTGTGGCTCTTGAGCGAGTGGTGCCCCCCTCCTGGATACCTCTGCCTGCCGCCCGCCCACAGTGTGGGGCACGTCCAGCCACATGGCCCCAGCCAAATGAGAGCTCAGTGTGATGATGCAAAGGGGCCGCCAGGCTGGCCGCACTTGCCATCCATGGCCTCATCTGGCGCTGAGGCTGTAAGTTGTAGGACCATTTTTAATAAATCAAGAATTGTTAACGTTCGTGTCGCTTCTTCACCTGGGGACCTGCCATGGGTTTGCTGCTAGAACCTGAGCGATCAGGGTGCCAGCAAGGTTGCAGATGAGCGTCTGTCCTTGTGGTTTAGCAACGGCCCTGGTGCTAAGGGCAGCGCCTGTGCCCCACAGCAGTGACGTGTTTGTGCCCGCGCGCATTTGCACATGTGTGTGTGGGGCTGCAGCCACAGTGCTGGGTGCCCAGAGGGCGGAGCAACCAGTGGAAACTTGGGATCTTCTGGCTTCAGGTGGTAGAATTTCGTGGCTTTGACTTTGGGCCATGGGACCGGCCCACAGGTGTTTCAAGAGCCACAGCGGCACTGCCTGCCACACAAGGCCAGCAGGGTGCTGCCCTCTCTGGCAGTCCAGGCTAGGGGTCCGGCCCACTGCCTCCACGCAGAGCTGTGTGCCTGGAGGTCTTGTGCCTGTCACTACTGGAAGAGCTTCATGATCACCTTCTTGTGTCCATGTGCCCAGTGGCCGTGGCTAGGCTGGAGGCCCACGTGAGGGACCTGAGCACAGCAATGTCCAAGCTAAGTCTCACTGTGTCCCCTAACCAGGGCTGATCCCTGACCACTTTGTCATAATGAACATCAGCTTTTGCTCTCAGGAAGCAAAACTAGAAAGTTGTGGAGAATTCAATTTGCTTTTGAAAAAAATTGGTGTCGGGAATTTTTGCCCCATGGCTGCTGGCTGCTAGGCCAACAGTAACATGCAGTGCTCCGGCAAGGAGGGACGTGGGTGGAGCTGGGCTCCTCCTGAACCTGGCTTCCAGAGGCCTCTCCACCCCCACTGGCCCTCTAGCGACCACAACTGATTAGCCTGTGGGTGCGGACACCTGGACTAGGGGCAGAGGTAGGGGGCATCTCCTGTCCATGATCAGTCACCTCGCTGGGTCAGTGGTCAGCTTGTGACACGTGTCACTGCTTACATTCGGCAGTTATTGGCTTTGAAGTGTCCTGAAGCAGTTGCCTTACAGTGCAGGACATCTAGACCAGGCTGTATCTCAGCAGCTCCCTTATGGGATCCTGCACAGTCGCCCACATCTGAGGGTGGCTGGTGAGGTCATGGCTCCTTGTGACTCCCCTGACCGGTGCCATCTTTTTGGGCGAGAGAACACTCACCCTTCCCTCTGGCTTGTGCCTGGGGGAGGTAGCACTTGTGAGATGGCTGCCCTCTAGGCTGGCATGGCCAGCTGGGCAGGTGCCCTCGTCTCTCACAGTGGGAAGATTTAACCCCCTGGGGTGGGACCCAGGAAACTGGGGTTTCCCGGGTGGAACAGAGGGGCCTCACTCAGCTGGAGAGGGTGTGGGTGCGGTGGCTGCTGACAAGGCCTCCTGCACCAGGGGAGGCCGAGCCTCTCCAAAGGGCAGTTGGCACTCCCAGGCAGGTCCCCAGTGCTGTCATCCGCAGAACCATGAAGTTCCCTATCCAGAGCCTAAAGAAGTGCGAGTCTCCAGACAAATGAAGAGCCAGGCACATCCCCTTGCTGGGGCCTTGGTGACAACAGTCAGTGAATTTTATTGCCAGTGTAACCTCAATTCAAGGGGATGCTAATAACCGGGGCACAGGAACGGGCTCCCAGACCTCCACCAGGGGACTAGAGGGGATGGCTAAGGGGCGAGGGGAGAATGGCCCTTGTCTGGTCCAGCTGCTGGCTCTGTACTTCCATTCTGGTCCCCACCCTCCAGCCACACTGCTTAGGCTCAGGAGACAAAATTGATTCAAATCTGCCAGGGGCGGTCTGCAGTCCAGGTGCCCCTCCCTGTTAGCAGCCACTTTCTCATCTCCAGAAAGGGCCAGGGGTTCCGGGCTTTTTCTGACCAAGGTTGGAGGCCCAAGGCCACCCCTTGCAGGTGACAGGAAAGCAGCCAGAGCCAAAGGGAAAACAGGAAGTAGGTGGTGGCCACAGTCCAGCTGGGGGTGAAAACTGCAGTGGTGAAGGCACCATCTGGGTCACTGCTGCCCATGGGCACAGCTACCAGCAGCTCAGGCCCTCACTACCTGGCACCCAGACAACACCAGCCACCTGCTGGGGGCTCCCACTATGGGTGCCCTAGCACCAGGTGTGAGGGGAGAGGGGTGCAACCCACCCACCTCAGGGCCTCAAGGGATTAGTGCCCCTGGAAGACACCAGGCCACAGGGTGCTGGCTGTACCCTCGTCTCCAATTGCCAGCAGGAGCCCCATCTTCTATGACCTACAGCTTCAGACGCAGTGGGGACCGCAGAGGAGCCCCCTGGGGCGGCCCCATCTTCACTGTGCTGACTGTAACATCCAGAGTGAAGATGGAAGCTGGACACTGTCAATGCCCCCGAGTTCCCGCAGAGCCTGGTGAGCGACCATCCACTGTCCCACGCCCAGCCCTGGGCGGTGAGGCCCTCTTCAGGCTGCCCTGCAGGACCCTGGGGGCCTAGGAGTTCGCGAGCTGAGCTGGGCATGCACTGTCCTTGCTGTCCAGCTGTGGGGTCGAAGTGAGAGGCTCAGGACGGGCAGGAGTACCAGGGCCTCCCTCACGGCCCCACACCGATGCCCAGCACCTGCGGGTCCTGTCTGGGTGCCACGCTGGGCTTCTGGGCCAGGGGCGGCTTCTTGGTGGCCCCACGAGGGGCGGCGGTGGGCCGGCTGGGCTCCTCTTCGGGTGTCCCCACGCCCCCAGCCAGCACGTAGTGCTGTTTTCGCAGCTCTCCGAGCTGCACGCGCGCTGCTTCCAGTGTCTTCTCCAGCTCCAGCACCCGCACCTGTGTTGCACACTCCAGTCAGCGCGGTGCTGGCCATGCAGACGAGCTGGGGGGGGTGTGTCCCAACTGCTCACCTGCGTCTCCATCTCCTGCTTCTTCAGCTTGATGAGGGACAGGCCAGAGAAGTCCATGGTGTCTGTGGCCAGGGGACAAGCGGCTCAGTGTCCGGCGCCCGCTCCCACCCGTTCCGGTAGCAGCCCCGCCACCCCTCACTACCTCTGTCCTCGATCTGCTCCTGGCCCGACTTGGCAGAGGCCACCACGCCAGCGGCCCTCTCATTGACAGCGCGGGAACACTCCTGCAGGCGGCCCAGGCATGGGCTGTGCTTGTCAGCCTTCACCTGGGGTGGGGACACGGTGGAGTGGGCCGCAGCTCTTAGCCCAGAGCTGGGCCACAGCAGGCACCAGGACTCGGACACCACCACAGCTCACCTTGGAGGCCGCCACCAGCTGTGCTGTGCTGGCTGCGATCTCGTGGCAGCACACGATGAGCTCCTCACACTTGCCGGTGTGCAGCACCACCCTGTCTGCAGACTCCCTGTGGGCGGGAGGGCGCGGCTGCTCAGAGCTGCTGCCCTGCTCCTGCCGCTGCCCCCAAACCACTCCCGGTCCCCACCCGGGCACCTACACCAGCTGCGACGCTCCCCAGCCCACAGCCTTGGAGGCAGAGATGAGGCCCTGCGTCCACCGTGAGTTCTTGGCATAGAATTCCTGCTGTGTGGCTGCCCCCTGGTGGCAGTGAGAAGATAGGCAGGGCGGACTGGTCAAGGACATCCCTGGTGGGGGACGGGTCACCCCTGCCCCCACAGACGCCTCCGGAGCCTCCCCTGAGCGTGCAGAGTGGCAGTGCTGGGCATCTGCACTTGCCTCTGTCGCGCCCCTCAGGAACCGTCCCTGCCCGCAGCGCCGTGGCCCAGCTCACCCTGCCGCTCTCCACGATTTCCTTCTGCAGGCTGGTGGAGGTCGTCACCAGGAGCCGGATGGCCTGCAAACCAAGATGTGTGTGGCTCTCGGGGTGGCCCTGACACGAAGCCCTCCCTAGTCCCAGCGCCACTCACCTTCATCAGGTCGGTGCAGGAGTTGAGGATCCTGGGAAGCAGCGGGGAGAGAGTGACAGATGTGACACTACACAGGGTATGACCACAGCGGGGCAGGGGGCAATG